ACACGAAGCGGTCTCTCTATATATGTATTTTGTAGATATCATAATCTTTATGAAGTTATACCAAAATCAATGGTAATTCATATGCTTTCTACGACGAGTGGGGCTAGAAATCTAAATCCAGTGATGTAAAAGTTGGAGTGTCGGGCTCCCCCTTTTTTAATCTATGCCAGTAAAAATTAATCAAAATTTGGTAAATTACTCTCAGTAAAAGCAGGGTAATACATAAAATTTAATCCTAAACTCAAGAGCTTCCAGGACCCTAAGGCGAGCCCTGGACCCCAGCCGTACTTCTGGTGCACATTGTCTCGCTTCGCTCTTTCAAATAAACCTTGGGCCCCCGCACTATTAATTTGCCTCCTACATTTCTGGGTTCGTTTTATAGAGAGCCAGAACTTATTTAAGTGTAAAAGAAGATTAATGCACAAAATTACTCTCAACCTAATGTTGTTTCAGTGGAACTTTTGGCAGAGTAGACACGGTAGTTTTGAAAAATTCAATGGACTGCAACTGCTGTTCTTTATTTCAGCAGGTAGTAGTCCATTAAAGTTTTCATACCCAATGCATTTCAATTTCTCTCGATATGTAGTAACTATGAAAATATGTATACGCTATATAAATATATATTTTCCTAACTTTATATATATATATTTCTTGAAAAAACTTCGAAGAATGACATTTATATCCATTAGATCATAGTATTGACCAAAATCTCGTGACATAACTTTTCGTAGTAACCAAGGGTGTGTGCCATTGTATGGAACAAAAACATTCCGTGAATATGTGTGAAGAGTAACAGTCGAAGATAAATATATTTGACATAGTTTGTCCCATAACATTCGAAAATGGCGAAAAACTATTGCATATTAAAGTGTACGAATAACTGGGGCAGAATCCTAATTGGCAAGATGTCTTACTCTTGAAAATTCCAAAGATCTAAGGGAAACACGCTAAACTAGTCCAAAAACTATAATGACTTCAAAAATTCTGTCGTGTCACATAGGAGACCAATGCCTAAGAATTGCATGGCCAGGTGGTTAGGGCGCTTGACTCGCAATCTGGGGGTCACGGATTTGATTCCCCATCCCACCAAACATGCTCCCCTTTTCAGCCGTGGGGGCGATATAATGTGATGGTCAGCCCCACTATTCGTTGGTAAAAGAGTAGCCCAAGAGTTGGAGGAAGGTGGTGATGACTAGCTGCCTTCCCTCTAGTCTTTCACTGCTAAATTAGGGACGGCTAGCGCAGATAGCCCTCGTGAAGCTTTGCGCGAATTTCAAACCAAAACAAAGCCTAAAAATTTTGTTTTTGGAACTCTGTTACTTGTCAGGTAATTATCATTTTTGAACAGTTTCTGTTGTCGAGGGCTGTATGTGAAATAGCATGTTCTATAGTGGCAAAATAATGAGGAATTTTTGTATGTGTATAACAATCATTTAAAAATAATATCCACGAGGTATATTGATGAATGTAGTTTCCTGTGTACAGGTAGCAAATATAGTCATAGGTGAAAATTTGTTATTTCCGTTGCAAAGAGCATTAAACGAAATTCTTAATTTGAATTATATTACACTTAAAAACGAAAGATAATTTATATATTTTCTACAAGGATTGGGATTATAAACTACGTCCCTTTTCGAAGATAAGAACACATTAGATGACCCGAAATTTAACGGAAATACCTAGTTCTCTTGGCGATGAGTAACTAAGATAATATGAAGGATCGGTTCACATTTTTAATACATTAGTCAAAGAAACTATTATAAATATATGTCTCACTGAATATCTTTCAACTACGTCATGATCAATACGAGAACGTTTTACAAAATAAAAAACATCCAAAATTACATTCATGGTTAGGAAAACACATAGGTTCAAAACATCAGTAAAAGAAATATATGAAACTTTATAACCCGAGAGCTTTCGAAAGGTAGAAAGTTTTTAATCAGTTTGCCATTCATAAAGAAAGGTCCACTTTTGAAAGCACTAGGAATGTTGGGTATCATATATTTGTCTTTACTTACATTACAATTTTTTACAGACAGAAAACAAGTTGTTTGTCTCTTTCAAGCATTCTAAAACTATGTTAGTCTGAATAAAACTTACGTTTTTTTTTCTCCACGATGGCCGAAATATTAAGGCGTCACATTTAACAGCTGGTATTCATAGTAAAATGTGGGATCAAACCTCACTCTAGACAGGTATGAAATTAATCTAAAATTTACTACGGATATCGTAAATAATTATCATTAATGTTTTGTTTTATTTACAGAAAAGGACATACGAGAAAGGCATGAATGAAATATTAAATTCGACATCATTTCAAAGGGCAAATGAAAATTTCTAAATATTTTGCATTCATTTGCTAAATATATAATATGTAGCACTAACATTGACACAAAGGTTAATTAAAACGATGGATTTTGTATCTCTCAACTAAGTTACTAATTGTTTGATATTACTTAAGAAGCTCCAATTTTTATGAGGTATAATTTCAGAAACAGGCAGTAGTAACTACATTGAACCAGCACAATAGTGTATTTTAAGTTTGTTCACAAAAACTTTTTTTTTCATGGCTGATGAGCAGACTTTCTCAAAAAACATCATCAATTGATGAAACTAATAGAGAGATATTAATTTCATCAATGATTGGGTCAGCGAGTAAAAAAATATATAAACTCAATATAAATATTTAAAATGGAACATATCTCAGTGACAAGCACTGAAACAAAAATAAACACAAACAGTTGTTAAGGTGGATCAAACGGTAGAAGCTAACAATTGAATGGTAATGATCACTTAATGGTTTACGAACTCAGAGTAAATGCGTGTGAATTTTGATTCCGTGATGATATTCAGAAATATACTTATGAATATCATTTGACAGATCAGCAGCTAACTCGTATATATGTGATTACACACTATCGCTCATTTTTCGCCTTTTACTTCTGTACCTGACAAAACGCTTATTAGAAAACACCTTATTTCTCGCGAATTTCACGAGTGAGTTTTTTATTTTTCTTCATAGTGAGATGCATATTGTTTGCTTAATTTCTCATAAAGCTATTAGAGCTGTCCTAGGTGTCCCTAACTTTGAAGTAATAGGGTAGAGGTAATGCAACTAATCAACCTCACCCCAAGCCAGATTTGGGTAATCTTGACAGACCGAATATTAGAAACTGACCATTACATCCTATAACACATCCACAACAAAAAAACGCTATATATATATATATATATAATATACCATTAACACAAACATACATTCTCATCATAAACTATCTATAAGGACGAGTTTACTGCACTATAATGAACATAAAGTATTATTATACACTCTACTTCATTCGTTAACATGTGTATTGTAAAAACTATAACAAAACACATTATACCTCTATGTAAGCAAATAAAGTACCTAAAACTGAATTTCATTACTAAAAAGTACGAATCGGTTAACCTGTCTTTGTTATTGACCATCAAGCATTTGCATACAGCAAGGCACGAGAACAATTATCAAGGAATAAGAAGTTGTAAACTGGTCAAGTCATGCAACATATGAAAAAAAAACACTTTTCGCGTCATGAGTGCTTAGAGGTTTATTTCAAACCCCCTTTTCTTAAGTTGAGACCAATGAGTAATAATTTTACCTACTTTCAGTATGTCATATACATCGCTGTATGTGTTGTAACCATGGTTATCATAACTGCTAGCCTTTCTATAACTTTATCTCCGTAGTATGTAATATTTCCAGAATTTACTTATCTGAATCAGTGTTCAGTTTTGACCACTGTAAACTTATACCTTGAGATCGTAACATTTCTTCAGTAGGACACGGACATTACATTGTCTTTAAGTAGTGTTGGACTGGAAATTAGTTAACAAAGGCCTACATCTACTGCTAGCCCAACTTTGCTGTAAGAACGGAGTGATCATTTTGCAACATTGTGCTTCATTGGCTGAATTTACAGAATCGTCATTTCTTTGTTCTCTCACTGGTCATGTGTGTGTTTCAATCATAGTCGTTGGAACAGTCTTGTGGTAGTCGTCAGACTATTCGTAGTCAGTCAAACTCAAGATAAGCTGTGTTGGTGTGTTAACGTTTTTGTTTTCATCTTTGTATTCCATCACTTAACCTGTCTTTGTTTGTTACATCTTAAAATTCCTCTCCAATACTCGTGAATTCCTACACTGAAACAATTCGGCCTTCATTCTTTAAATATCATTTACTCACTGCCCTTTAGACCTTAGCGTTCCTCTGGTTATTGCGGTAGTGACTTCTCTTGTGTAACTCCTCATGAAATTATCTACATAGGTAGTCCACAACATTCATACTTGCTCGGAGAATTCAAATGAATTTTTTGGGATAACATGTGCATAGATTTCGTGTTTCTTGATATTTTCTGGGGGTTTTCAAGTTTCCGGCATATTTCCTTTTGACCGTCACATTTTTTCAGATGATGATTTTCTACCCAGCGACGTAACAGATCGCCCCTTGCCAAATGAAGTATCAACAGAAAACTTGGAGACATCATCTACTAATGAATACGTACTAATGAATAGTCCTCCTACCAACAGGAAAACATCAGACCCGCTGAGGACTCCAGAGATGATAAGACCTTTCAGGAAGGCATCCCCACGAAAGACCAAAATAACCAGAAAAAACGATATTCGGCTATTTTGACCTCTACTCCAGCTTGAAAAAGATGACAGAGATAAAAATAAAACGAAAGAGAGTGGTCACGGCTAGCGCTGGTAATAAAGGCAAGAAAAAAAGCGAAAAATCGGATGGAAGAAACTGAGTGTCTTCTATGTGGAGACCTGTGGAGTATTTTGCCATTAAAATAAAGTTTTTTAAATGTTGTTTATCACCGTTTAATTTATGACAACTCATTTTCACTGAGTGACATAAAAAAAAAATTATATGTGAGTATTAAAGCCATTTAGTACCACTATTCTAGAAGTTCAAGAATAACAGTTGGCGAAGAATGAAAGATTAAAACAAGTGATAAGATTTTAAACATTACATTTTTATTCAGTAAATCATCCACAAAAATTTAGAGAAATATACAATATTTTATCGTTCTAGAATATAACCTTACAAGAGAAGTTAGATGAGGCAGTTTCGAAGCCTCTCAAACTTCACTTACAAGAAAATTACTCAAAGGGTGTTTCCAAATACATTTTTATTCCAAACGTAGATGTAAACAAAGGGAAAACAAAACTCTAGAAGAGGATTTCCTAAATTAACATTAAAGAACATGAAAACACATTAACACTTAAAAATGACAATACACAACTTTAATATGTGGTCGATGTTAAGTTAAATGTGCCATATACAACCAAATCTCATCATCAAAATTTGTTTCTGATGGATAAAAAATAAACCTACATAAGATATTTTTTATTTGTGTTATTGCATGTTTAATAAACATTGTAAATATTACATGTTTAATAAACATATGAAATATATTGTTCCGTACTTTATAAGTATTATCTCTAAAAACAACATAAATTATATTTTAATACGCTATCGTTTAGGCATATGGTGAAGACATTCATATAGCAATACAGTGTGGGATAAATGGGCTCTTAAACACATTATGATGTTACAAACAAAACTTATATTATTTATTGTTATTATTCTATTTATTAAAGTTTAAAGCAACTGCCGCCGTGAAATGAATTATCCTTGTATCTATCCAACGCGCTTTACCAGTGTTTAGTTGATTCAGAAGCCATTATCCAAGTTTCACGACAATGAGCATAATTGTAAGTTACTCTGGACCAGTCCAAAACTGTAGTTGTGTGAAAATGTTTTGTTATCAATTTCTAGAAATTGAGTTGATGAGTAGTTTCACATAAACTTACTTGTAACTAATGATTTATAAAAACAAACAAAAAACTGCAGATTCGGCCCGGTAGGGCAACAGAAAATCTAATAATATTAATTAAAGATTAATTAACAGGCTACCACACAAAGGCTACATAACACATTATACTAGCACAATCTAGTGATTAACAGGCTACCACACGAAGGCTACATAACACATTATACTAGCACAATCTAGTGATTAACAGGCTACCACACGAAGGCTACATAACACATTATACTAGCACAATCTAGTGATTAACAGGCTACCACACGAAGGCTACATAACACATTATACTAGCACAATCAAGTGACTTTTTAAATAAAATCATCCAAAAACAATATTACGAACAAAAAGATGCAACATCACGGACAAAACAAAGTACTTACACGCAAAAATCACTCTTCTTAATTTAACCACACAAACGTTCAAGCTTATGATTAAAGAATTGGAGCAGAATTGTGCTAGTGAAAACGGTACTTGCTTTTTTTCGAAGTTGATTGTTGCAAATGGTTCTTAACTAATCTGATTATATATCTATCAACACTTCATGCACCTTATGTGGTCATATAATTTCAGTACATTTAAATATAAGCTAAACCTGTCAAGAGATGGCTATTACATAAACGAGTTTAAAATATTTTAAGCTCCTACGCTTAAGAACAGTGGATAATATTTACTAATGATATTTTACGCTATCCCACAACTCCCTAAAGTATCATTTCTTATATCACAACAGAACTGTGAAAGATTATATGCATATTAAAATTAACATTGTAATTGAATATATGACAAGTTACAAACTGTGAATGAAATTTGTCGGGCTAGGGTAATGTGGATTATTAATACTGGTGTCCTCATTACCGCAATCCTCTGAATAGTGTTTATACGCGTAAAGAATGATTTTAACAAACATTACAGTTTTCCATGTCGCTCAAGTGTCAAGTTATTCTATTTGGTGCGAGTTATTTTGAGATAATTTTTATGAGTGTTTATATCCATAAAAAATACAGTATTTAAGGATAATACATTTGTAAAATATTGAATCAACAATAATGAAGTTCAATTATTTTTCTATGCTATTATTTTATATTAAAACTTGGGGCGCAAGCGCGTTAAAATAACTGAACAATTTACGAACTTTTTCAACCTCCCTCCCCACACACAATAAAAGAGTAACACTTAATGGTACATATAGGACGCATGAAATGGTCCATCTAAAAACATTTCCTACATTGCCTCATATGAACAGTAATTTTCTCAGGTTAAGTCCGTACTTTTAAATTCCCCTTATCATTTTAACTAGGTGGGATAATAAATCGCCATCTCATGGCAAACAATACAAAATAAGGAAGAACTAATTTAAGAATGTAAATATGCCAAATATTTCTCAAGAAATATACCATAAAGAACATATTAAGTGTATTTTGATGCAGAGATCACAGACAAAATATTTAAAATGATGGATATCCTTGCTTTTGTAAAGAACAAATCTGGTGATTCTGCAACTTGTAATTTGAAAAAAAATATGTTAATGCAAAGTAACTATTGTTGTTTTCGCCCATCAACAAAGCCACGATTGAAGTGTTTGCACGTGATTTATCCTTTATCTGCTGAGGTTAGCTTATTAGTTAATTTAGAATGTTGCTGTCGTTTTTAATGAAACGTTAGGGCTTTGCGATATTCTCAAATCCGCGACAACAGAAGCACACATTTGTCCTTACTGACCATTTCAGTTAGAAATTATTCCATAATTAATATTCTAAAGACATCGAGTGATCGAGACACTTATAATCTCCTTACTGGGGCATTACGTAGAAAGCTGCCCCAATTCGAAGTTGCATTTCAACGTTCTTCAATGTGAACATAAATCAATTCGAAGAGCAGTAGACAAGACAGAAAACATAGAGGAAGAAGAATCCAAGCTTCAGTTCAAACATATATATAAACAACGGTATTACATGTTAAACAATACTACTAATAAAACAAAACAAACAGTGTACGTATCTTATGAATATACAAATTCAATTCCTTATACATGGTTAGATACGACGCTCTCGTATAATTGTGTTATTTATGTCTCTTTTTAAAATACCGTATTTGAAACGATAACTATCTTCTTATTAGAATCAAACTTCATCAAGTCATTTAAAAAAAGTCTCAATCCTCATACAAAAACATATAATACAAAAACTGAGTGACAAATGTTAACCCTGGAAGAGTGATTAAACCTGTGCAACGATTTGGTTCTCATTACAGATTCTTATTAGGTTCTTTGAAGTATTTTGAAGTGCTTATAAAACATACAAACCTGGTGTCGTGAAAGACAAATCAGTATTTGACATGATCATGTTAAAGGTGTATTACCAGATGTTTGGTCTGATCTGGTTACCCTTTAGTAGGAGAAACAGTATTATCAATAATAGCACAATCTGCTTATCTTCTGTTTGGTAACAAGTAATGAAACATATAAAAACGTACAAGTTCAATAAAAACAAACTACTCTCTACATACATTCATAATTTTATAATTAAGAGCAAACATCACTAGATAAATCTCAGTATTTGAACCTTCAGATACATATATATAAACATACCAAATCAGTTTTGTACGAAGATATTGCCACCAGTTCAAGGGTGTGGAATTCATGTCACCAAGTTTTATTTCTATACTTTACCCAATGGACAAATAGTATTTTTATTTTTCGCATAATTCGTTCTATTGCTATAAAACCAACTCGTGTAGATTTCTAGGGAGCTACGCAAGTTCCTGAACATTCTGAACTTTCCAAGTGTAGCACATACAGAGAAATACTTAAAAGAACGTACCCCTGAACCTCTAGCCGAAACTATATACACAAATATACGTATCCTTTTAATTTATAAACTCTAACTCACACACACGGTAACAAACATATTGAAATTAACGCAAAAGTATTAGTACATTGCTTTTTTCTACACTAAGGGCATAATAAAAATTTACTAATCAGTTCCAGGAAGAACATGTAATATAATAAAAATTACAAAAAGCTTTAAACTGTTATATGTAAATTAAATAACATTACATGGCAGTATTAATGTAAACCATGATTTCTGTATCAGTTCGTGCGGAAGATATTCTACATACTGTACTGTAAAATCCTAACGATTAGGAGATAAAACCAGCATTGTAAAATCCTAGCGATTGGGAGATAAAACCATAGAAATACATGAACGAATATATTTACATGTATGAAGAGCTTAGATTCAAAACACGGCATACCCCATTTCCAACAAAACTGGGTTTCCAGTGGTATTGTACTGATGGATGTGCAGCATTTTGACTAAAAGAGACTTATCAATATAAAAGTACTTCGACCAAAAATAATTGTTTTTAAATTTATAAATAATAAGGTTACTTTTTATATAACAACTTCTAATAGTTTCATTTAATAAATACCTCATTTCTACTTCACAGTATTTTTTAAAGCTGAAAAAAACTGATTTTCTCAGAATGGCAAAATTGTTTATACAACGTTTTGTTTATAAGCTCTTCATATATATCTATATATATAATTCAAATATGATTATTAACACTCACATTCATCCTGTTTATCTATTTTATACTTTAAATAAATTTAACATGAGGCAACAGATGGAGAATATAACAAAAAATAATACACGTTTCAGTATTTTGTGAATCTGACACTTTTCATTGTTCAGTGTTAAATAAGAGCAAAATCTTAAAAATTATATTCTATTTTGTGTGTGTGTGTGTCTGGTGGAACAGGGAAAGGCAAGTAGATTTTTAAAAGAACAAGTAGATTTTATAGCATATTTCCCTTGCACAAAAAGTTTTTGAAAAATTCCGCAGTCTGCAGTTGGTACTTTATTAACAAATGTGGAATTTAATACGATTGCTTCCTATTTTGATAGATCGAAAACCTTTAAATTCTTAAATTATAGCAGGAGCGAATATCTTTTTTAACAGATCGTATACTAAGCCATTTATTGAATTAATAAGTGACTTTTTTTCGCGTAAAAACAAACTGATGAATTACTTTTTATTATTATTTTTTAAATGCAACGATTACTTCACACATTATGTGGTTTATGTATACATGTTTTCGCCTTTCCTACCAAACTATAAACGATAAAAACTTACTTTTTATTATTATTTTTTAAATGCAACGATTACTTCACACATTATGTGGTTTATGTATACATGTTTTCGCCTTTCCTACCAAACTATAAACGATAAAAACTTCGTGAATGATAGCCTAAATATCAACACATCTGTGAATGGTAAATGTTATTGAATTGACTAAATTTATCCAAATAACGCCTTCTGTTAAAACATTTAACATTTCAAATTATGTAACAATACTCAAAACGTGAATTTCAGATGACCCTAAATCAGTTGGTCTAATTATTAAAAAATTTGATCAAAAGTAAATGTAAATCCAAACTAAAACGTAACTGACAAATGAACAAAGCCAAGTCTATGTAACAAACGGGCAGAAAGTAAGTGATGTCATAAATCAGCACATAAGGAAACTAAAACGTATAATGGTTGCAATGCAGTAAATTCATAACAAAAATGACGCTAAACTATATATATGATATTTTCAACACATTTCTTCAAATTTGACGTGCATTTGACTTAACATTATCAATGAAGTAATTAAGAGAAATGTGAAGAAAATAAAACATTTACACTCTTGTAATTTCTATCGCCAGATTTCGGGGTATGTATTGCGACAGTAAATATTTTTGTATTGCACATAAAGTAACATTTTAGATAGACTTTTGGTCACCATCATGGTCCAGTCCAACTGACCAATTTTTAAGGCCTTTTAGGCAATGACTTATGGCAAACAAAACAAAATCTGAAATGTTATTTCCACATATCCCTGGTTTGAAATTCGTAAGAAAATAGACAAAACAAATTGAAAAATCTGAAACTTAACATGGCTTTCATCACGAATATTAAGGTTATTGATTCCACTGCTTCGCCAGCTTTCGGTGTTAAAAACCATAACAGTTAATTTTAAAAGAAGTTATTTCTTAATATTTTCTTTCTAAATCGACAACAATCAACAGGTGACGCCATCCAATAGAGCAAATTACAATCTAAGCCCTAAACTTTCTAAATGATACATTCATGTATATTAAAGGCTAGAACAACATATGGATATCAAACTCTGTATGAAAATTTAGTAAAATAAAACAGTTATAGTAAAAATTAGAAAACTTTCATGCACTAAATACATGACAAATAATATTGCTGATTTCAGTGTAACATACTTCAAATAAGAATGTGTGTTTGATTATCGAAGACTAAGCTCTGCAAAGTAACAACAAATAGTTTGAAAATCTTGCCTCACTTAATGTCTCCACCTCAATGCTATCATTATGTTCACAGATGCTCTCCAGTTACTTAGCATTAAGCTTAAGGACTTAAACAGTTAAAATAATCCGATGTGCAGTTTTGCACTTAAAATCTAAAATTCATAGATTAAAAAATTAAATCATTAATGTTTGAAAGCTTATCAGGTTAAATATCTCTAATTTCTACAAAATGTCTTTCAATGATTAAAATAATTTTGCCATTTATAGTTTTTTCGTGCTTAAATTGTGAGAAACACTACCAAAGGACAGATCTAGGCTTTTCTTTTCACGCAGTTTTGTGGAAAATGTTCAGAGGGGCGAAAAATTATTGATGGTTTAACAAAATCGCTCATAATTCATAAATTAAAATGTGCAGAAATGATCATAATAAAATATCATGATGGTCAAAATTTAACAGAAGAAACTCTACCATAGCATATGAGGCCAATTTTATAGCTAATGGCCCTCTTGTATAATATTGTGGTAGTCGCGATTTCACACCTATCTAACGTTTGCGATAATGCAGCTGAGAAAATACGACAGCCAAAAGTTTTCTTTTCCTCTTTTTGTGATAAATATGCTTAACTCGTTTTCCATTTGTGAAACAAAAAGTACTATTAACTTGATGAAAACTTGCTAATTGGGTTACTACATAATTCTAGCAAACTATTATCAAATTAAAACAGGACTTTGTACATGTGTGTTCAAAAACACATGTGTTCCTAAATGACAATATTACAACATAAGTATTTCCAAAGAATTCAGTGGTAAGCTGGAAAGAGGGGTGGAATAGAGGTGTTCCCTTGTATGAATCTCCTTACCCCCACATCGAAGATTTGCTTGAGTTTTAAAATTATTTATAACTCAAGAATCTGGATCCGCCCACTGCATTTGTTAATTACAACTCATAGTGAAAAGGGAAATACTGATGTCATTGCAAACGGGTGAAACTCAAAATTTCATTGGCTGTTGAAAAACTACTGTTGGGCATATACTAACCGTATATTTTATAATAAAACAAAATTTTCTGAGTAGGAATAAGCTGTTGAAAAGGTTTTTAAAATGTAAAGAAAACATGCAAAGAAATTTGTATGTTTGTATGTGTAGGTTTATCCGATTAATACATTCTAACTATTATATTTTTCAGACTTTCGAGAATGTTCTTCACACATATTAGCCATTATATTTCTCAAACTTCAAGCATGTTTGTTATTCACACATTAAATATCTATATTTTTCAGACAATCAAAAATATTATTCACATATGTTTATTATATTTCTCAGACATTCAAGCACGTTATTCACACATTTTATTTATTATAGTTCTCATAAATTCAAGTATATTATTCACACATTAAATATATTGTATTTCTTAGACACCCAAGTATGTTATTCACACATTCTAGCTTGTTTCTCAGTATTCAAGGGTGTAACTTATTCCTGTATAATGTTTAAGATTTTTTGTGGTGGTGGGTAGAGTAGTATCAATCCTGAGATACACCTCTTGAGGTATCATTTTAATCGCTTATTAGTTTGACTAAATATTGTATTCGTTTTTTTAGACAAATTTAGTTTGGGATATGGAATTTTAAGTAAAAGGTTTGTTTGTTTGTAATTAAGCACAAAGCTATACAATGGGCTATCTGTGCTCTGCCCACCACGGGTATCGAAACCCGGTTTCTAACGTTGTAAGTGCGCAGACATGCCACTGTGCCACTGGGGTGGAAAGTTAAAAGGGAATCATAACATTGCGCAATGTTGTCAAAAAAGTCTGCGTAATTAAGTTTTCTTAAGACCTAGGTCAACTATTCCTTTCTGATTTTAGTAGTTGTATTCCACATCAGTGTTGTTTCATTTTATATAGTTTTTGTGACTTATTTGATTCATCTTGAACAATCTTTATTCCTAAATATTTTATAAACGTTCCGTATAATTAAACCTATCATTGAGAAGTATTCTGTGGGCGAATCGACAAATATATGTTTTATTCAACCAATATCTTAAGATCCATTAATTATGTTTGTAATTTGTTAAGAATGTTTGTTTGCTTGCAATAAAGTTGATTTGAATGAAGATATTCAAAGAAAAACAAAAGTGAAATATGTAAATAATCTTGGTCGAAGCCCCCAAAGTGTCTATTATCGCAGTGACCTGTGGTGATTTAAAACGAAACATTGTTAAAAAAACGAAAATAATAAATACAGTTACATGAAATACTAAAGATGGTAAAAACGCATCTAGAAAAGACGTTCACATTTTCAATTCAAATTACGAACAAAAGCCTACAGTATTGGTATACCATGACGATAGTATTAGCATCAATTAAAGTGAACGAGTACCTTGAATCTTAGGTCTCTTGGCTGTCAACCCAACAACACATTTTTATAGCATTAACCATGCATTTAAAAAAGAATCCACAAAAAGTATACATTTGGATCCAAGGCTTCTAGTTGTCGATAAAGTAAACCAGGTTCAGATGAAAATTAACAAAATTTCATAATTTAATATACATATAGTCGTCCTATTAGCATCTTGATTAGGTGAAATATGAACCTCCAATTTCGTTTTTTTAAGATCGTTACAATATGTGCACTTTACTGGAAGTCAACTCTGTTCACTTTCTCCCACCTAACATAGGTCCGCCTTATCACACACACTTGGCATTCCAAGGATAGATATTGGTTAAAACTTGAAGTCCTTCTTGTTTCCCTGAGGATCCAACTTAACACTGCTGTAAAAAGACACAAATCGTTGCAAATAAATTTTACAACTCATTAAAATGATATAAGCTTAAACACAGTTTACGCCAAAGTTTTATATTCATTTAGAATGATATGTTTTAATTCATCGTAATTTTTGGACATTAGTTAAATACTTAATCATACACACACACACACACAATCTATTTAACTTCCATTATACACAATATAACTGTCTATGTGCTTTTAGAAATGTAAGAAAAAGTTTTTCCTCCACAAATTATTTCACATTATGTGGCTAACAATTAACAAGTCCGAGAAAAAGGCAATACACTCATAGCTAGATGTATGAATGATCTTTCCTAAAATTTAAAACTGTTTTTGTTGGAGTAAATATCTTGATAAGCCACATATGATAAAAAGTTATTTTACTTGGTACAACAAAGTGTTATAAAATCCCAGCTATCTCTACTAAACTGATCTTTATCGATTATGTTTAACATTACAAAAGCTCTGCTTTACCTTTCTATTGCTGGTCACGGATCAAAAAAGCGAACATTCAGTGATAACCATTAGGAAAAGATGCAGCAATCAGAGGTCCCTACGAAAAACAAAGCAGTTTTAAAAGCAGTCTTTAGTATAATGAAACACGTAATAGATATTGTAGCTTAATCCTAAATTACCAACGTAGCTACGCAGTCAGCTATTGTGTTAGAAGAGTTCGTTACAACGTTTTACATACATACTAACGATTGAAAAACATAAATAGAACCAACCAACCATTATAGACAAAAATGACAAAGTTCTTTTCAAATCAAAATTAAACAAAAGAAGGATTATTTTCTTTAGTATAACAACGTCAGAGTGTGTTAACAAAATTTAGATCATAGTGAAATATGGGCGAATTCAATAGCGGTTCTGATATCTGGGTTAACTTCAATGACGTTACTAACATCTAGGATAGTTTAATGAATATTACTAACATTTAGGTTAACTTCAAGGACAATCACTAACATCTACAATAAGTTAAGAAAAACTAATAACATTTACGTTAACTTCAAGGACAATCACTATTATCTAAAATATGTTAAGGAAGGCTACTGACGTTTAGGTTAACTTCACGGATAATCACTATTATCTAAAATATGTTAAGGAAGGCTACTGACGTTTAGGTTAACTTCAAGAACAACTATTAACGTCTACAGTAAGTTAAAGAAAGCTACAAACGTTTAGGTTAACTTCATGGACAATCACTAATGTCTACAATAAATTAAGGAAGACTAAAAACATTTACGTTAACTTCAAGGACAATCACCAACGTCTACAGTAAGTTAAGGAAGGCTACTAACATCTATGTTATTTTTTCACAACAGTTGCTGCGTCTACATTATAATGAAGGTAGACTTCTAATATCTAGGTTAACTTCACGGAAGGTTACTTGCGTCCGGTTTAACTTCCAGGTTAATTTCGAATGCCCATATTATTTTGGTTATTTTCACGGAAGGCTATTTGCGTCTAGAGGTAACTCAGAGGAAAATGTAATTTACTAATTCTTTAGCTATCTGCACTAAAAACCATTTACGTGACGGTCTAAGTTAACTTTAAGGTAAAGATAATTTACTAGCGTCTAAGTTACCTGCACGGAAAGCTATTTAAGTCTAGATTAACTTCAAGATAATTTATTAATGCCTAAGTTATATGCAAGGAAAGCTATTTAGGTCTAGGTTAATTTTGAAGGTAATTAATTACTTTCAATTAGATTAACTTCAAAGTAATTTATTACTTTCTAAGGTGTTTTTTTCCGGAAGTTTACTTACTTCTAGGTAAGTAAAGAGAAGGTATGCTTACTCGATTGACAGCAAACGGGGGAAATACAGACGTCTGGGAATGGGAGTTACTTGTCTGAACGTATCCCATACTATCCTGGCTAGAGCTATATAGGTCGATCGGTCCCGGACTGTTGTTAGCGGGAGATGTAGGTGGAACAAAACTCGTGGGCCCATAGTTATTTATCACTAAATAGAAATTAGAACCCATAGTTGTCTTTATATACATGAATATGGTGTATATAAAACAGCTATGTAAGCACGTTGTTGTTTTGAGTTACTCACTGTCATAAATGAAATAGCTTGGAATTGATGTTAACACATAAAATCAATTAAAATCAGTAAAATAAATGTGGATTTTGAAATAAGACAGTTGACTGGCTACCTATCCATCTGCTTTTGTTTTATCTTGAAACAATACCACTGATTTACTTTTCGAAACATTTCTTGAAGATGGTGCTTGATGTTCATGTCAAAATTTTTAATTCTAATCCTTCATCCTAATTCTCTGTGTATGTGTGTAAAGAAAGTTGATCGAAGTTTATTTTAACGATCTTTATTTGCTAATGCAGTGGCGCCAAGGTTCACTACGACTTTCTAGCAATTCGACAGTACAATACCGCCATGAATAGGCTAATGTCTGGGGTCTTTTGTTAATTTGTAATTAAGCATAAAGCTACACAAAGAACTATCTATGCTCTGTCCACCACAAGTATCGAAACTCGGTTTCTAGCGGTATACGGGGGAGGCATCTGGAGTCAACTAGGAATGTTTTTCCGAAGTAAAATTTGTACATAACGAAACAGTTATACGATGTAATTAAAAAGACGTGTCATTTCAATGAAGGTATTCCTCAATGGACTCCATTGGAGTGAAAAACGCGTACAAGAGCATTTCGGGTAGCAGCGGGCTATGAAATCACACTCTAACATATTGCAGGACAATGCCCTCATTAACAAAAGAAAGCTAAGGTTTCAAAAGAAAATCTTTCGACCTAAAAATTATTTCACTGAAGCAGAGCACATTACCTGGTGTTGTTAATTGTATAACAAACGAGGTTTTGAAATTGGTGAAGATTTTAAAAGCCAAAATCGCACTAACTTTTAGTCACATCTGGTAGTTAACGGCTGTTTTCATAGAAACATATATAGCAATTCCATTCGACCACATACTGGCCAAGTCCAATGGACTTTTGTGCCTTTGGTCTGTTCAAGCGTGGTCTTAACGTACTCCATATACCCTGGAGGGTATGTGGAAAGTTTGCCATGATAAGTGATTCAAGATTGACCTCACCATCCTTCAAAAAGCTAGCTACGATGAAAATTGCGACAACCATCGCCGTGAAACTCAGCAAATTCGACGATGAAGGGTGTAGTTCCAATGGTAGCATGAGATCTGAACATCGTTTTTATAAAGTGCAACTAACCTCATCACACAAGCACACACACACACACACACATATATATATATTTCAGATCAATATTGTTTCTTATTATACTGTAAAATAGAAGAGTAAATGACAAATACAATATTACCTTGGTCTTTGAATATTACCTAGTTCATTGAGACTGATCCTTCCTCCTACGCGATGAATTGGATATAGGGCATCTTCCATAAAACAAAGTTTCTATTTTTAAGAATTATTTTGTGAACAAACTGGCCAGAAAGTCATTACAACCAATTCTACTTGATTGTTTTCTGTTTTATTTTTGCGTGAGTACGACACGTACATTTGATATAACGTCAGTCTTCCAGTATCAACAATAAGTGGATCCAAAGGTTGACACTTTAGGTGCATCGCAAGCGATAAAAAAAAGAATTTTGGAAGTCAGGTAAGTAGAGACGCCAAGTAACGTATCAGTCAGCTTCTGTAGAACAAATGGTCAATTATCTTTATTCATTGACGTTTCCAAAGCTATCGGTATCGAAGGTCGTTTTTCGTCTCCCGATAAATGTCAGTAGGTAAAACAAAGTACGTTACTGTGTAAAATAATAATATAATCCATTAAACATTGACCTAATACATTCACCTGATATTTTCGTTTTCCTGTAGTACTTGGTTTTGATAGAGCATTTTTTAAAGATTATAATTGTTAGTTTATTAAAACCGGTTAGTAGTGGGCATCAGTTGTCACTTGTTGGTATCCTGTGAAAACACTGTAACACAAGTATCGGGTAATCACATGTGGCGTACAAGTTGCATTTTACCTTCACTTGAGAGCTGGTTATTTTCAAGGTAAATGTCAAGATCACAGCTATGGCTTCATGTAAAATAGACTACTGGTCATTAGAGCATAAACCTGGAAATATATCACATTTTGGATGGAAAGGTCAAGGCCATTAGTTTTACTAGCTTACGCGATAATTTTTACAGGTTCAGACGTGGTTTAGCACATGTTGAAAGTCAAGGTCACGAAGCTTTATTCACTATCGTGATGCTTGAAGATTAAATGAACGGTAAAATATCAATAAAAGGGTTGTATTCTAATGAATATCATCATTTCTTCTGATCTAACCACAACTGAAAATACCCATACCTGATAGTGCTTGTGTTAGTATCGGTGTTGAAGTCTGCTGACCATTTAGTTCCACTGTAGACAAAGACAGTAGATTAGAAGTCACTAACAGAAAGTTCACCGATGAACATGTAAGGTAATAAAAACGATTATTTATAAGAGAAAGATAATTTTATTTCCTTTAGGCCAACTGTATTAGATTACAACGAAAAGGTTACCAATGGTGTTGATGGTATAGACAACCAGATATCACTTCTCAGCCTAGCTCACGTTAATTGTGATGCATTTCCTCTAATACCAGCTTACTAAAATACGGTGCGGTGTTACGCATCCATCTGTGTACACCTACCTTAGGAACATCAATTATCCGAAGTGTTGTCTATGCAGAGTGTCACTGAAAGCACAAAAATATTAAAGTGATATGGTGCTAGGTCAAGACTATGCGGAATGGTGAAGGATTGTCTATGCAGAGTGTCACTGAAAGCACAAAAATATTAAAGTGATATGGTGCTAGGTCAAGACTATGCGGAATGGTGAAGGATTGTCTATGCAGAGTGTCACTGAAAGCACAAAAATATTAAAGTGATATGGTGCTAGGTCAAGACTATGCGGAATGGTGAAGGATTGTCTATCCAAGCTAATCAATTGTAGTCTTTATAAGACGATAATTATGGGGTCTGGCATTATTATGTTGTAAAAGAACATCAAGAAACAGCTGGAAACGATGTTTCGTTGGCCACACTTTGCCCGTATCTAGTCTGACAAAGAGAATCCGTTTTTGTTGTCGTCCTCCCGCACACTCCTTACCCGCAGTTTACTCATATCTAGAGTATCGCATAGAAAGTCTCTTTTATTGTTTGTTTATCCTTAACACTCATCGTGTACATAGATAGGACCTGAGTTCTAAAGTTAAACTGTATATTGTAACTATAGATACTGGAAACTTTTGTGAAATTAAATTACGAGCTTACCAGTAAAGGACATTATAGCGTTAAAATGAGAAGAAATTAGATTTAGTATAATCTTATACATTTTCAATAAGTGCATATCCTCTGGAATGAAAATTTCTAGAATTGATTTTTTATTTTCTCTGAAAAATAACCTCAAAACATATCTTAAAGAAATAACACACTTGCAAGTAACAAACTGATCGTTACTCTTCTCCCTCCTAAGTTTGTCTCAAAGTATAACTTACCGTACAAATACTTTTTGTTCACTAAATACTGTCAAATTTCCATTCCCATAAATTTGAGTAATTCCTCGAAATAGTAAACGGTTTATAACTAATCTCTTCTATTTTGTAAACTGCTGAAAAAACATAAAAAAATACAAATCTTTAATACTTGAAATAAAACTTTACAATACCCCATGTAAATGATAGAGGTCTGTATGTGCTTTTTTAAACGAATTATAAGAACTTGATCAATATGACGTGCTCGTGTGTTATAACTAACTTTTGTAATGAAAACCTTTATGAACTTAAGGTCTTGATAACATTTGTCTTCCTTGTCAATATTGTTCCAGGTAAAAGGGCCCGGCATGGCCAAGTGGTTAGGGCGCTCGACTCGCAATCTGCGGGTCGCGGGTTCGAATCCCCGTCACACCAAACATGTTCGCCCTTTCAGCCGTGGCGGCGTTATAATGTGACGGTCAATCCCACTATTCGTTGGTAAAAGAGTAGCCCAAGAGTTGGCGGTGGGTGGTGATGACTAGTTTCCTTCCCTCTAGTCTTACACTGCTAAATTAGGGACGGCTAGCGCAGATAGCCCTCGTGTAGCTTTGCGCGACATTCATAACAAACAAACCAGGTAAAAATCGGTTGTTGGAAGGCTCTTTCTGTTTGTCTTGAGGTTAAATATATCAAGTACTATGACTTAGAAATTTGAATAATAGAATGAAGTACAGAAAACTGTGTATGGATAGGTAAAGAAACGGTTGGTTGGTTGTTTGGTGCTTTATGGCGCAAAGCAACGAGGCTATCTGCGCCAAACAACCGGTAAAAAAGTGAAAGTAAATTAAAGTAAAATGCAAAAATACAGCTAGTTAAAATATGTCCAAAATTTGGATAAAAGATTTATATACAATTAAAAACACCAATATTGCGTAAAAAAATTAAAAATACAATCCAGTCGGACAGTGTCACCATTGCCAATGATACTGTCCAACGTCAGGGGTAAACTCTTACAAATTACGTGTCTAAAATGGTGCCGCCGCTCACGGTCGTAACGACGGCACGACAGTAAAATGTGGGCTATTGTAACTTGAGTGTCACAATGGCTACACATCGGTGGGTCAATACCTGATAAAAGAAATCGATGGGTTAAAAAACTGTGACCAATGTGAAGAAGAAAGGTCGACCTTTCGAAAGCGCTCTGGTTATAGGGTTTTTATTCATTTCCATTGTATATAATGTCAGCTACCAAGCCACGTTCAAGCAGATTTAAGACACAGAAGTCCTTTGGAACTTATTGTTACTGTGTTTTTCAGCTTAAAACTACACGATTGGCTAGGTGCAAGTTGTCCTCCAGGAAAGATTCGAACACCGAATATTAGCATTGTAAGTACTGAAACTTATAATGAAGCTACATGAAGAATTTAACAAGTAGTCAGAGTTATTGCTATTATTCCAGATTATTCGGCCATATTTTTCATGAACGTAGCCGTTGATTTTGAGGCATGGTTCGAAACTTATAAACCTTTGTTAACTTCATCTTTTGTTTATTGTCTTCTTAACACTGCCAGGAGATATCACAGCTTTGTTTGTATGTTTATTTGTAATTAAGCACAAATTTACACGATGGGCTGGCTATCTGTGCTCTGCCCATCACCTGTATCGAAACCCGGTTCTAGCGTTATAAGTCCGCAGACGAACCGTTGTACCACTGAGGGGCACACAACTTCGTTGAAAAAAAATTGTTTTTGATCCAGAGGGTTGATTTTCCATATTGAGTTGGGGCTTGGTTTGACCTCATTGCTGTCTCAAACCCTCTGCCGCACAATTTGGTTTTCCAATTCTATGGAGAACATTGCAGGTCTCGTTTTTCGAAATATTACTTTTGTGACTCAACACTGTTTAACAATTTCGTTATACGAATATCATTCCTGTGAAAGGCTTTACATACACATTTAACCCCAGACATACGTGGTGATATTGGTCAGGAAATCACTGTGGTCCAAAGGTACAGGTGCTAAACATGTCGCCCTTGGCACGACCGGCTTGAACCTTCAGCAATGCACCACTTCATTGGGCAAGTTGTTCGCATAAAGTGTGATTACTCCCTGGATTCAATTTAAATTTGGAAACAATTTCGTTATTTTACTGGAATATGGCGTGTTATGAAGTTGGCTACCATGTTTCTTTCTGTTGTGATATATATTTAGAGGGCACTGGTTGTTATCAGTAAAACAGTAAACACGAGCTTCCGACAGTCTTTAATTCTATTTGAACTTCTTTTTTTGTTTCTCAGTTACTAGCTCAAAACACACCTTGTCGAATTACTCTGTGATCTGCTAGTTGGATAAGATCGCATTGTGTTCCTTTCGTTCTCCCGGATGTAAAACTTATGTTTCATCTGAAATGATCAAACTACTCCTCATACATTACGTTTTTGTCTATAAAAATAGTATTAATTTGTAATGTTCTTTCTTCTATTGAATCTGAAAATTTCGACTTGTGAGTTTCTAGTAATTAAAGTTCGTGTGAAAATAATAAGAGTGGATCATAAAGTGTATAACTCATTCGGATGTTGCTACAAAAATGACAGTTGTAATATGTTTCTAAGTTTAGTATAAGTTATCTTTAAAATTTCAGGACAGAAAATAATTCATATTTAACATCTATATAACTAAAGTTTGACACTTTAATAACCTATTTAATCAAAACTAAAACAAAATTAAGTAATATATTTTTGATATTTTTATACTCAGCTCAAACTTTCAATGTAACACATCTGGAATTAAATTTAAAAGTCAAATTACGATAAAATTGTATTTTTACAAATATCTTACCAAAACATGCTTCACAGAGATATTTTTCTTTATTTGAATAAATAAACTTCTAAGTGTCACTGAACTGTTTCTTCAAAATCATGTCAACAGAATTTAGCCAGTTTCAATGAAATAGTCTTCATTATAACAGTATATTTAGTTAACATTTGAGCAGCAGTACCTTTTCACAAAAATGCATAACGCCCTCGTATAGCATTAGAGAGAGTAACTGTTGAAGCTTAAAAGTGATCTGCAATTAACTAAAAGTATGGTTAGGAGGAGTTACTGAATCAGTTATGAATGCCATTCAGCAGAAACCAAAGAGTAGTTGAGACGAAAATTAAGAAATTGTTTACTTGATTGTACACTTTGTGTTCAGTAAGAAATTTTATAAAGTAGAAGCTTGCCAACTAAGTATAATAATCACTAACGCACTGAGAATACGTAGATAAAATAGAGTGCTGGTAAAAATGACACCACATCATAAATAGACGCTTCGGTTGGAATGAATATTCTCATGGATAGTTAAATACGTTTCGGCTATTAAATAGCAATGGTAGTAAAATGTATAGCCTAACAATTTAATATTGGTACTAATAGAATTGGCACTGCAAAGTTCAGTGCTTCAAAATTTAAGAGTGAAGTTCTGGTGTATACTAAAATCATAAAATATAAACTACAAATCGGAGGAATATTAATGTTGTTAACAATGCTCTATTGTGGTCTAGGAGCGATTAAATCATGTAATAAATCGTTAAAGACATAGACACGGAATAACTAAGTAGGTTAATCTAATAAGCTGCCGATCGTAAGATTAACCTTTTACTTCTGTAGTAAGTTATCTTCCTTGGAAATAAGCTGTTAAATGAAGTATATAACTCGACTCATAACATGTGTGTCAGGTTTGGTCCATCTGTTAGCTTTAGTTCAGTGACAGACTAAGGAGAAGAAGCCAAATTCCTTGTCATTGAAGATGAGGCAGGTTTGTTGGCATGTAGCCTATCATTGTTAATACGATTATCACCTTACGTTCTGCATAGAACTTGTAAGTAGCTTGAAGAATAAAGTTGTTTTAATGAACTAAAAAG